CGTGAATTCTGAGTCCTGTGAGTCCGTGCATTCTCCACACTGGCCTCAGATAAAGAACCATGGGTCAGCAGTGCAAGAGGGGGCAGGAAGGAGGAGAGGGAGAGGGGAGGGGCAGGGAGGCCCAGGAGGTCCCAGGGTGGGTGTGGGGCCCTGCAGGTGCCAGGAGGGACTCAGGGCCTTAGCCCGGCCCTGTCCCCAGCGTCTGCAGGCTGCCCCAGGACGGTGCCCTGGAGCCTGAAGCAGGGATGGGAGTTCAGATGCCGGAACCCTGAGACTGGCACGAGGTGGAGTGTGAGGCGCTGCAGGCTGCTCCCTGTGGCCTCTCGGGCCTGAAGAGGGCCTCCTCTTCCTGTGCCTATGTCCTGATCGCCTCTTCCTTTTTAGGGGTAAGGGCTGAACCCAGGGCCTTCTGCATGCCGGGCAAGCCCTGCACCACTGAGCTGCGCCCCAGTCCGTACTTTTTACTTTGAGACAGGGCTGGGTAGGGTGCCCAGGCTGGCCTCAAACTTGTGGTCCTCCCACCACATTCCTCCTGGGTAGCCAAGATGACAGCCGTGTGCCACCATGCCTGGTCCCTAATCTCTCATAAGGAAGAGCTCACATTGGGTTTGGGTGGCCCCAAAGACCCAACTGTGCCTTACCTTACTCTCTCACGCCAGCTCCAGCTGCTCCGGGAGTGGCTGGGCTGTGGGGCCAGGCCAAGGGCAGCCGCTTCCCCGAGACACCAGAGTCTGGCTGAGGTGGGCCTTGCCTCCCCATCACCCCCTGCCCGCTCAGCGCCTCTGGTGTCCTCTGCAAGGGTGAGGCCTGGGGTGCAGACAGCACGGCAGCTTTGGGAGTCCCACAGCTTGGCAGAAGGCAAGGCTTCCAGCTGGGGCGGCACCGGAGGGCCCTGGCCAGCGCTGCCAGGTGACCTGTCTGCTGCCCCGGGGCTGCCCTGGGAACTGCTCACCCGGGACCGGGACAGTGGCCAAGGCTGCGATGGGCCAGGACACAGGCAGACCGAGCTGCCCCTGGTCTGCTCAGGCTCACAGGGGGAAGAGGACCTGGCGCCCACCTTCCCTGTGTGCGGTGGGTGAGTGCCATGCCTCCCTGGGCACCTCTCCACCCGCCAGGAGGACAGCAGCAGCTCCGCTCCCTGGCACGGTCTCGCCTGGACCAGTGCGACCTCGCATGGGCAGCGAGAGCAGTGGATGGGGTCTGGGGCTGTTGGTCTGAGTGCTGGGGAGGGAGCGGATGCAGCAGAGGAGCCCCCTTGTCGGGACCCCCCGTGCCCACCTGCTGCGGGCCTGGGGGCTGGGTCAGGCTGGGCCCGTGTGTCGGGAACAGGCCTCCTCTCTCTGCTCCCCACTTCTGTGTATTTGCTGACCGGTTTTTCTAGATAGGGCTTTTTCCTTCTTTGTTGCAGCAATGGGGATAAGGCAAGTGCTAGACCACTGCGCTGCATCCCAGCCCCTTTCATTCTGAGGCAGTTCCCACCAAGTCCCCCAGACTGGCCTTGAACTGTGGTCCTCCGCCTCAGCCTCCTGAGTGGCGGCGATGCCAGGCATCTGTTCAGCAGTCTTCAGCACGCCCAGTGTGGCCTCTCGCCCAACAGCTGTGGGGCCCTGCGCTGTGTCCAGGTGTGGCTGAGCCCTTGGCCTGGAGCCTGCAGCTCTGCCACCCCTGTTCTGCCCCTAGGGACAGGGCTGCCTTCTTGGCCCTGCCTGGCCATATCTTCTCCTGGGGCCCTCAAGTGCCACCCAAGCCTCCTCTGTCCCTGTCCGTCCCCGCATCTGCTCTGTCCGCTGGTGGCCCTGGCCAGCGCTGGTCCTCTCTGACCATTGCCATGTGGACCCTTTGAGCATCAGGGCCAACGCCATCCCAGAAGCACAGGGCCAGAGGGCACTGGCTCAGAGCAGCTCGAGGCATCGGGGCCACACCGCCAGGGGATTCTGGGCCAGAGCTTGAGTGCCCACTGGATGACAGCAACAACCAGACAACAGTGGCACCAGCCCCGTCATAGAGAGGAGGAAACAGCCCGGAAGTGATGTCCCATAGCCACAGGGAGGGCTGTGTCCAGCCGCTGTGGACACCGACAGAGGGGCCAGGGCCACCGTGGGACTCGGAGCCGCTGCTCTGCCGGGCCAGGGCCGGGGATGCAGAGAGAGGCCCCCACTCAGGACCTGCTGGCCTCTGATCGCTCTGAGCTCTCAGCTCAACCTCCCAGGGGAACGAGGGGCACCTCCTTTCCCCTCACCTGCTCTGCTCCTGGACAGGAGGAGACCAGCCTGGCCCCTGAGTACAGTCACACAGCCAGGTGCCGGCCTGAGGACGGCCAGCCCCCTGCCTGGAGTGAGCTGGGACAGGCGCAGGCCGGGGTGGAGACGGGACAGTGAGTAGGAGGAGGACGCAGAGGTGGCTGGGAGGGCTGCGGAGGGGCGGCCAGCCCCAGCCTCAGGGTGACGTGCAGTGCGCTGACTGCAGAGGCCGCGGCCCAGTCCCCACCGCCACACTGATGGCTGCCACTGCCTTCGGCCATCAGGTCTGTCCCAGAGGCTGTGTGTTTCACCTTAGCGGGTGCCAGTGGGTGGGGTACTGGCCCGGGTGGCTCGGTGGCCAGATCGAGGGGCGCTGAGGGGCCCAGCCTTCCTCAGGCGCCCTTCACAGCCCTCAGCCTCTGCACCCTCACCGGGGCGGGGCCTGAGTCTTTGCCTGCTCCATGCAGGGCCCTCTCAAGCTCTGCACCCACACTGAGCTGCCAGAGCCTGGGCTTGGGCATCATCAGCAGGCGGCACGCCCTGTGCTGCCGTGGCTCTCACTTCCAGCCCTGGCCCTGGTACACCGGGCGTGCAGTCAGTGCTCATGTGGTGTGAACACCCACCGTGGTCCTGGCTGTAGGACCGGAGGTCGAGGGAGGGAGGAGCTGCGCTCAGCAGCGGACAGCCCAGCGCCCAGCGCTCCCCTGGAGCACAGCGACTTCTTGGCACCCCAGAGGGGTTTACGGGCTGGCAAAGGCCCCAGGAGAGCTGGCGGCCAGCACTGGCTTTGAGTGACTCATCCAGGCTGGCACGGGAGTGAGAAGGCCTGGGTGCGAAGCTGCACTGCATAAAGGCTGGAACAACATGTGCCGCATTTCCACTCCGGGCGCGTCCTGAGGTTGATGACAGTGTATTTTAAAAAAATTATTTTTACTAAGCTACAAAGCGAGCAAGTCTGTAAAATGAGGGGCACCCTCTGCCAGTGCCACCTTCAGCTGGCAGGCTGAAGCACTGGGGCGCTGTGAGGTGAGCCTGGACCCTGGGCCACCAGGAGCTCCAGAGCTGGGGACCTGGCCACTGTCTCTCCACGCGCGAGCTCCGTGTGGGTGGAGGACTGCTCAGTGCTTGGGTCAGGAGGTGCTGCCCACATGCTGTGCCCTGCCCAGGGTCCAAGCAGTGGCAGCTGGGGGTTGGGGCCTCCCGGTGGCCACACCCCTGTTAATAACGGGCCCAGGCCGTCCTGGGCAGCTCCCAGAACTGATGGGGAAACCGAGGCAGAGCGGTAACTGGACTCATGTTGCAGGGCACGTTAACGCAGTCGGGACTCCAAACCCGGCTCTCAGTCCTCATTCCCCAGTGGTGTCACCTCCATCTTCCACCCGTGCCATGCTGTCGGCATCCCCACCCTCTGCAACACCCCTGGGCTCCACACAGCACCGGGGGTGGGCATTCCCCTCTGACACCCTCCCAACACAGCAGGCCGGGGGGTTGTGGGCCCTTCTGCCTCCCTCCACGCGCGGCCAACCCCATTGCTCTCCCCAGGGTGCCACAGAGCCATGGACCCAGTAAGGGCTCGGCTTAGGTAAGGGTTAGAGCACCAGAGTTAAGGTTGGGGTTGGACGCAGGTCAGAAAGTAAGTTAGGGTTAGGGCTAAAACCAGGGCAAGGCTTGGGGCTAGGTTAGGGTCAGGGTTAGGGTTAGCACTGTGGGGGGGTTAGGGAAGTGGCTTCTACTGGGCAGGTGCTCAGTGTTATCCTCACTCGTCCTCTCCTAGAAGATTTGGGGTTAGGGTCAGAGGAATGGGAAGGGGCTGATCCGCGGGAGGCCAGGGTTAGATTGGGGCGAGTATAGGTAACGGTTAGGGTTGGGGCGAGGTGGGGTTAGGTAAAGTTTAGCACTAGGGAAGGGGCTGGGCTAGGTTAGGGTTAGGCCAGTGGGCCCGGGAGGGGTGTTCGTGTCATGCCCCCTGGTCCTCTCCATGGAGATTTCCCACCCTCCCTCCGGTGGGGTCACTGAGGTCTTCGGTGAGAGAAGAGGAGGTTCAGAAGCCTGAGCTTGGAGCTGAGAGAGGAGAGTCATGGCTCTGCTGAGCAAGGAGCCTCTTTGGGAAGAAGTGATAAGAGGTCACAAGGCAGCTGGGAGGAAACAGGGGTTTTTGAAGAAGCGTGATCCAAGAATTCTTGTCCCCTTCGTAGAGTTTAAGAAAATCAAGTGAGGAACTCAAAGGATCATTTGCAGAATGCAGCTCACTTTTGTGGGTGCACCACTCAGTGGGTTTGATGAATTCAGGGTCACATGACCCCGTCACAGTCCCAGCATGGAACATTTCCATTACCTTGAATATTCCCCACGTCCTCTGCAGTCAGCCCCTTTCCACCCCCAGCCCCTGGCAAAGGTGGTTTGAACTTAAGATAATTCACCTTGTCACAGTTTAATTTCAGTCCTTTCCAGGATGATGCACACTTGTGACTCTGAGCAGTGCCCAGCCTTTGTGTCTGGCTTCTTTCTCCTGGGCCATCAGTGTTGCCATGCGAATTTCACTTGCTCCTGTTCACTGCTAAGTGCTGTTCCATCACTGGCGGGATGTCACTGCCATTTGTCTATCCACCTGCCGGGGTGGATATCTGTTTGGTTGTTATGCATAGGGCTGTAAGCATGCACACGAAAGGCTTTGTGTGTGGACATGTTTTCACTTCTCTTGCATTAAGACTTCCATATGCAACTTGCTGGGTCTGATCATCCGTGCATTTCACTTCACAGGTTTGGTTCTGACCCAGGGCTGCAGCTGCATCGAAGTTGCTCTGCACTCTGAATGAGCTGTCAGTCAGCTTCTGTCACGGTCACTGTCCCTGAGAACTTCATCTCCCATGGAGGAGAGGCTGTGTGCTGATTCTTGTGCAGAGGAGAAGCTTCCATGTTCATGGTGCACCACGCTGGGCACGAGAGGAGTAGGGTGCCGTGAGCATCACACAAGGGGGCAAAGAGAGGCAGGGAGCACGCTGGTCCCCTCTGAGGGACCACTCTGAGGGCCACCACAGCCCCTGCCTCGCCCCACCAGGCCCCTCATCATTCCCCAGTGCCCCACAGGGCCGGAGGTGGTCAAGCCCTGAGCACGTGCGCTGAGGACAACGTCTAGGCCAGGCCATGGAGGAGCTGAACTTCACGTGTTGCCCCCCCTGAGGACGCTTGCAGTTTAACCAGGAGCCACTGCTCATTCTGCACGCATCGCCCGGACCTCACGATGAGGTAGACTTTTCTCCACATGTGGCCAGCAGGCAGGAGCGGCCAGCTCAGGTGCTTGGTAGGGGCTGGCACACGTGGGACTCACGTTCCTGCTACAACCACAGGAGTTGGCCCCAGTTCCCTGACATCCAGGGTTCTGCCATGAGGAAAGTGCCCCAGAGAGGGCTGCCAGCGGCTCCACTAAATCTGTCCCTTGGGCTCCCCTTTGCCCCATAGACAAAGCAGCTGCGCCCACAGCCTCTCTCCTGCCTCAGCCTCTTGGATCAGACATGTGTGGAACGGAGCAGGAAAGGCTGGAAAGAGCTCAGATTTACACCCAGAGTCCAGGCTGCCCCTTCTGCAGCCGTGGTGACCACAGCTCTGTGACTCTACGCTCTACACACAGGGCTTCTGCAGCCCTTTTTATTGATTGACGTATTTAAGTTGGTAGAGACAAAAGGAACACAAGGGTCAGCAGAGGAAAATCTCCTGCCTGCCTCCAGCTGAACTCTCCCAGAAGACGCTATGGATGTGTGGACATATGCAGACGCACACACACGCATGCACACGCTCACACACACACGCACATGCTCACACACGCACACGTGGTAGCAGTGTTCTTTGGCTGGAGTTACAAAGGGAGAAGGCTTACGTTGGCCTCCATCCCAGCTGCCAGCCACAGTTTATCCAGGGAGAGACTGCCCGTGCTGGCCCTGCTGAGAGGCTGGGGACCCCAATCCCTCCAGGGTCCTCACTGATCTGAGAGCTTGCAGGCCCTGCCCCTTGAAGTCCCCCACTCCCGGGCCTTGGGCGGTGTGATAGCAGCAATAAAAATGCTGTTTTCACCAGCTGTGTCCAGGGCAGGGGTCTTAGAGACAGCTCCCTTCCCTATAGGAAGAACCACCCACGTTTTCTTTTAAATGGTCATGTTTTCCCGGTGTGAATGTGCCATAATTTGTGTCCTCGTTCGCTTACAGAGAGTGTTTAGCTTGTTTCCAACCTTTTGGAATACATTGATGATATTATTTCCCTATTTTTTTGCTCTTGTTTTTGCTTTTTTGAGACAAGATCTGGCTGTGTAGCCCAGGCCGGCCTCAAACTCGCTCCCTTGCTCCGCCTTGGCCTCCTGAGTGCTGGGATGACAGGCCTGTGCTGTGGTGCCCGGCTGTCAGCTCCCTACTCTGGCCCGTTCCGTTCCACAGCTTTCCAAGTCTCTGAGTCTGCCGTGAGGCCTCTGGTTCAGGCCCCCGCTGCCCGACTGGGGGAGTGCCAATGCCAGCTCCCCCTTTGCTTCCCTGTGTCCTGTGTGCTGCTTAGGGAAGGTGGCACTGCCGAGAGGCAGGGCTGGGGGGTCGTGGGCGGGGCGCTGCCCCTGCACCCTCTGCCCTGGAATTTCCCAAACGAAGCTGCTCCCAGATCACCCTGCTCCTGCAGCCCTGTTCCAGGCCCAGTGCCCTGCAGGGCCCACTGCAGCCAACCCAGCCCTGCTGCTCCTGGCGGGCTCCTCCCCTGGCTCAGTCTTTCCTCAGCGAGAGGTTGCCCCCACTGCTCGACCAGAGAAGGGCTCTCCCCTCTGTCTCTCTCTGTCTCCATCCCTGTCTGTCTCGATGGCTCAGCACTCCCCACTGAGCACATCCCCAACCCTGTGTGCCTCTTCCTGAAAGTGATTCCCACCCAACCAGAGCCCACATTAGGGATCTTTGGTTCCGTCAGCAAGGCCAACGTTCCTGGCTCCACAGGGCGGCATTTCCTTCCGTGACCCTCAGGGTTCCACATGTGGCTGGGAACTGTCCTCACCTCAGACAGGACCTGCAGGGTGATACCTGTCCACTCTACACTGCAGTGTTATCTAGCACCCAGAGCCGTTCCTGGCTGCTCTAGGCCAGCCCCAATGCCCTCATTCCATTCCTCTCTGTCAGCGACTGGACCAAGGTGGCATGGGCCTGGCTCTGGCCAGGGACAAGCAAGGGACGTTTTCCTTCTTATGGAATACATGGCCACTCAGGGGGAAGAAGCCGTGTTGGAGGAATGGGGCAAACTCCTGTTAGTTGTGGTTACTAAGACTTGAGATCCAGTGCTGTGGCAGCCGTTCTGTGACAGGAGACGGTAGGCTTGAGGCTGAGGATTCAAAGTGCCAGGATGGCAAAGTGGGGAGGACCTGGGAGACAGACGCCCTCCCTGCAGACACCACCTGGCAGAGGCGCTGCTGTCCTTGAAGCCGAGCCACTGTCCACGTGGTTTCCGGCCCTTGGACTGTGTGTCTTCCATGTTGCGGTGAGGACTCTGGTCCTGCAGCAGCTGTGGGTTCCAGAGTCCCTGCCCTGGCTCCTGATGTGACTCAGAGCCCAGCCACATGGAGGGGCAGGTCCCCTCAGAGCCCGGGGAGCCCGGTGACTCATGAGGACTCCTGGGCCTCCTCTCGCGCAGCACCCTCCCCGTGCCGTGCCCCAGTTTCAGGTGTATTTTTAGTGGCAGTGAGGTTGCACAGTGCATCACCCACTGCCACAGGTCTCAGCGTCATCTGCTGGGCACAGTGGGGGCACAGACCCCAGATCCGGAGCCACTGGCTTGGCCGAGACCCAGCACCCCTGTCTCCAGGCCAGGCGCGAGTTTGACCGGGAGCAGAGTCTCGCTCTCAGGGTCCCCTGGTGCTCTCAGCTCCCGGGAGGAGGGCAGAGCTGCTGCGCGAACCTGGGCCTTGTGGGGAGGGAGGTTGGGGCCTCCGGCGCCCCGCTGAGACTCTTGCTAGGGTCGCAAAACCAGCTCTGGAAGCTGAGGCAGGAGGATCATGAGTTCCAGGCCAGCCTGGGCAACCAAGTCAGACCTTGTCTCAAAGGAAGACATTAAAAGGGCCAAGGGTGCAGCTCAGTGGTGGAGCTCCCTGGATTCCGTCCCAGTTGCACAAACACACACATCCCACACACGTGCACGCTCATGCACACAGACACACACATGCATGCACACGAACGTGTGGAGACGGAGCTGGGGACAGGCTGCCAAGTCCTCTAGGGCAGCGACAGCATCCGGTGTCCAGAGGCCCCGGGCAGGGTGCTGCGCACACCGCTGGCCTGCCCGACGCGCCCTGTCATGACTTGGGGCTCAGTGGCCACCCTGGGCTCACGCAGGCCATGGTGGCAGGTGTGAGGCTTGGCTCCAGTGTTCCCGGACACCACCTGGCCTGCAGCGGCCCCACACAGCCGGGACCCCGTGTGCCCTGCACAGCTGCTCCGCCCCCAGGATGCTGCACCCCTCTTGGCTGCCAACTGCTGCAGCTGTGCCTGGGCATCGACACCTCCTGGGTCCCTGCTCCTCACCGCTGGCTGAAGGGCCCTCCTCCTGTCACCGTGCAGGTGGATGCTGTGGCCTCTCCTCAGGGTCAGGCCCCCTGTCTCTCCCGGTCAGCGGGGCCTCCTTCTCCTCCTCGTCTCTGATGGGGCAGGGCTGAGGCCCCCAAGCCTGGCTCTGCGGGGTGTGGGAGTGGGGTGGTTGTCGGCGCCCCAGGGGAAGCACCCTTGGGGCCTGGGCTGGAGACCCACAGGGCAGTGCTGGCCCAGGCTCTGCCTCCGAGGTCTGCATGACAGGGAGGGAGGCTGGGAGGTGGCCAGAGAGGGCCTTTTGCGAAGGGCGACAGTGACCTTTGCGAGTCAGCATGAGGGAGTGAGCAGGGCTCCTGTGGAGAAGTTTCCAGGTCTCGGGAGGGCTGACCCTGTGTCAGGTTGAAGGGCCACCAGGGCCTGCTCAAAGGTGGCCCCGCGAGCGCACACTTGGGACCGCTCTGGCTCTCACCTGCCCAGCTGCTCTTGGCCTGGCAAGGGGAGGCTGAAGAGCCAGGGCCCAGTAGGCCGGTGACGTGGCCCAGGACCTGCAGCGCCTAAGTGGGCCACCTCCCGCCAGCTGATCTGACGCGAGTGATCCGCTCCCCGCCTGCTTGGGGACCTGGTGGCATGGGAGACTCGACCTGACACCCAGAGGTTGGAGACTCCCGGTTTACAGAGCACTGGACAGGAAGAAGCCCTGCAGGCCCTGCTCATGACTCCAGCTGCAGGCATAGCCCTTTCCCAGCCAGGTGGCTCCACGGACGGGCAGGGGCGGCCTGGCCCTCGGCACTCAGCTCTGCAGCTGTGGGCAGCTGTCTCAGGTTTCCAGGCTTCTTCCTGTTGTGGATTGTCCCTGTGTTGCCCATCAGCGGGGCATCCACCCCTCGAGCATCCTAAAGGCAGAGTGGGCCCTGGGCCCATGCCCTGCAGCCCATGCACAGCCTCTCCTCACACTCGGGAGAAGGCAGGGACCCTGCTCCGGATCCATCTCCAGGGCCTGGCTGCTGGTGTCGTCCTCATCCTGTACCACGTGGCAGGAGCCAGGCCCATGTCTCTGTGTTGGGAGCAGGCCCGAGTGACCTGGCCTCAGGTGGAGCCATGCTCAGGAGGCAAAGTCTGAAAGAGGAAGACTCCTGGGCAGAGCTGGGCTGAGCTGTGCTCAAGAGCAAGGCCTGGCACACGCAAGGGCCTGAGCGCAGTGCCCAGCATTGTGTGTGTGCACACCACACTCACACACGCACACACACAAGCACACGTGTGCACAGAAAGGAACCCATCTCCATCCCATCCTTTGACTCACACTGATGAGGGCTCTGCCCTGGCCTTCCCGGTGTCCATCCTGCTGTCTTCCTTGCCCTGCATTTCCTGTTCAAGACCCTGTGTGCCTCTCTCCTGCAGACCTGCCCAGCCTCCCCCCAAGTCTGGTCCCTCCCTTCTGGCCTGGACGGTCCCTGTTTATTTCTGACCATTTTTTAAAAATCACAAAACCCTGCTAACAACAGGCTGCACAAGGCTGAATTTACTTGTGTGTGCACACATGCGAGTATGAGTGTGTGTAGCAGAGGAGGTGGGCTTTATCTACTTTTCAGTATGGGGACTGGGCCTAGGGCCTTCACACTGAGCCGCATGCCCAGCCCTGTTTTCATTTCCTGTTCTGAGACAGGGCCTTGTTGAAGTCCTCGAGCTGCCCTGGCTGCCCTGGAGCTTGCCGTCCTCCTGCCTCAGCCTCCCAGAGTGCTGGGACGATGGGTGCACCGCCCCAGGCTTTGCCCTGATCTCTCCATCCCCCTGGTGGAAGCAGAGGGCGAACCCTTCCTGTGGGTGTGGAGGACGAGCCGGGTTAAGAAGCACTGGGTGCACCGCAGGCCCTCGGCCAGTCTCAGCTGTGACTCAGTTTCCTGGGCTCTTGGGGCTGCATGTCACCTCTCGGCACACTTGCCAATGGAGGGCACTCCCGCCCAGGGAGGCGTCAGGCCCCAGACACCAGTGCTGCTTCCCTTCATTGCCTCCGCAGGTGCCTTGGGCTCACGTCTCGGCTGTGTGGCCTGGGCCCTGACATCCCACGAGCCCGTGAATGGGGACCTGATGACTGGGTCCTGTGCTGGTTGGGGTGAGGAGCCTGGGTGCCAGGTGCTGTCCGCCTCAGTTCTCAGCACCTCGGCACCACAGGCTGGGCCAGCAGATGTCCTCGCTGCAGCGCCAGGAAGCTGAGGCCCAGTGAGGTTACAGCTGTGGGAGCCAGGGGCTCCTGAGGGTGCTGGCCGGGCCCTGTGAGCCTGGACTCAGGGCTGCACCCCGGGGCTGCGTGGGTCGAAGCTCTGCACGGGGCTGGAGCTTCTCCCTCTTCACATTTTGCAGATGAATGGAAGCAGGCTCAGGTTCGCCAGAGCCTGAAGGCCAGGGCTGAGCACAGCGGGTGGCGGCCTCTGTGTCACCAGGGTGACTGTGGATGGCTCTTTCCTGGGACAGGCACGGAGACAAGCTTGTCGGCTCAGCTCCCCATCCCCTGTTCCCTCTCCTCCCTCTGCTTGAGGCCCCAGGGGCAGGGCGGCCTGGGGTCTGCATGGGTGGGGCCCTCACCAGCCTGCGGGGCCAAGTGATCCTAGCCCCTGCCTGGGCTTCTCCGGGCTGGGACGGCACTGAGCAGGAGGAGCCGGTGCAGGCGGCAAGCCCTGCCCTCCCCCGCCCAGTGTGGCATTGCCATGGCAACTGTCAT